CTCATTATATCCTTGTTTCACCTACTGTAATGACTGATATAGCAATATTCGGTTTGAACGCAGAACTAGCGGACCAAAGTTTACTCGTTTAAACTAGACTACGTTCTGCTGTATAACATATGAAGCATTTTTGAGTGACCCGTATTAATTTATATTAAAGCACAAACTATGTTAAAATTTAGGCGGCTCTAATTTAATGGAGAGAACAGGTTATATGAAAAAGTACAAAATTCATGAAATGGTACAGCCTGTGCTATACAGTCAAGGGTTCCTCTAACACAAACTAACATGCTGAACAACAAGTACAGTACTCAACAGAAAAGAGTTTGATACCTGGGGATCAATATTCCCAACAAATTGGGATCAGATATGTACCTGCAACGATTCCGGCAACTTTTCAGAGCAGACAGTCAAAGGTTAACAGTCATACACTGTACCACTCCGTGATCATGAGTTTAGTCCAACACGATCTTATTGTCAATGGTCTTCCAACATGCAACAGTAAATTAAATAATAAGAGATACGTCTTTGAACAGGATCAAATAACAAAGGACGACTGGAGAACATAAAGTGTGTTTGACAAGAAACCTGAGTAAAGGTTACAATACAAGATAAGGAGAGAGAGCAAATAAATGACGAGAATATCCAATGAAATGCTCTGGAGGGATTTTCACTGTGTTCTTTAAGTGACACCCTCAAAGCTAGCTCACTATTCTGTTTCTAGGATCTTAGTATTAAATTATTCGACATAATTTATTTTTCTCAGCCCCTGATATAATCTGCACAGCGTCTGGTCGTCTTTCCTTACTATAAGGGATCATGAAGTACAATATAGCGAAGAAAAAAATATTGTACAACGAAAAATTTGGTTCCTCGTAAACCTGATCGTTCTTTGCATCGTCTTTTCCAGCCATCCTGGAAAAAAAAGAATATGAAAGTGTATGTCGAAATAAACTCGTACACGCTTTAAGACATATAGTAGGCGAAAAAAGAAAAGAAAATCATGTACATGTGATAGCATAAAAGCGATTTTTACAAATTTTTTTGTTTTTTTAATATACATATTAGCAAAATAATACATATATATATATATATATATATATATATATAAGCATATTAAACTTTTTTATATTATATATAATGCCATGGAAAACTGAGATGAAGCAAAATGTCAAGTGGTGTCTTACGTACAATAGTCACTTAAATGTTCTGGAAATCTTACTCTTCTTCCAGAACGCGTTGTTTTAAGTTTGTTTTCAGATACTATCGAAGTATCATCGTGCGTGTTGGTTGTCGGATGAGGTATTATAAGTGTCGGAGTCGTGTCGTTCGACTGTACCGAGGGAAAATCGACATGAATATGATTTCCTTCTAAATACGCTGCTTTGAGGCGATCGATGCTGACGCTATCGTTGGTTCCGTCCTTATCGATTATATAGTACTTAGGTTCGCGTTGAAGAACTTTGAAGGGTCCTTCGCATGCTGATTCGAAAGGCCGTCGATGCGAGTCTCGACGTACGAAGACGTGTGTACTATATCGTACGTCAGGTTGAACAAAAACATCAGTTGATTGAGGTCGAGTGGAAACAGGTTTAACTGAACGCGTTGCGTTTGTAAGCCTGTTCGTGTAGGAGGTTAGATCCATGTTCATTGAAGAGGATGAAGGACCCACGAATTCTCCTGGAAGTCTAAGTTTCGTTCCATAAACGAGTTGAGCCATAGTGTATCCAATGTCAGCTTCCACTGCATTGCGAATACCTAGTAAGACGAATGGAAGAGCGTTGGTCCGCTGTGAAACGTTTGCAGCTGATAGCGAAGCTTTCAGTTGTCGGTGAAAACGTTCTACCAACCCATTTGCTTGTGGGTGGTAGGCAGTCGTTCGGAAGCGAGTGGTTCCCAAAAGTGTGATCAGACAACGGAAGAGTTCAGATTCAAACTGACGTCCGCGGTCTGTAGTGATGGTTGAAGGGCAGCCGAAGTTTGCTACCCATCGTTCGACGAAGGTGCGGGCCACTGTTTCAGCAGTGATGTCCTTGATAGGTACTGCTTCTGGCCGTCGAGTGAAACGGTCTGGTAAAGGTCCTACCGAATCCAGATGAACATGGTTGAATCGAGCATCAGGAGTTCTCAGTGAGCCTTAGGGACATTTATTGTGTCTGATGACCTTAGATTTTTGGCAGCTTACACAGGAGCGTGCCCACTCCCTCACGTCTTTATTCATTCCAGGCCAGCAAAACCGTTCTGCTATAAGCTTGATGGTTGCACGAACACCTGGATGAGAAAGTTTGTGCAGCATATCAAAGACATTGCGTCGATAACGTTCCGGCACGATTGGGCGATCCCTACCTGTAGATGTGTCACAAAGTAAGGTTTCCTTACCAGTTTCCATCTGTTTGATGCGTAACTTGAGGGTTGTAGACGATAACTCGTGCTGAAGATCAGTGTCTTCTCTTTGAAGCTGGGCGAGTTTAAGAAGGTCGATTCCTTGGAAACCGTTCGAGGAAGTTATTCGAGACAAGGCGTCTGCGACTACATTGTTTGCGCCAGAAATGTGTTGAATATCTGAAGTAAACTGCGAAATGTATTCCAGTTGTTGAGACTCACGAGGTGAGTACTTGTCTGAAGAGGAGCTTAAGGAGAAAGTAAGGGGTTTATGGTCAGTGAAAAGAGCAAATTCACGGCCTTAGATATAGTGTTGGAAATGCTGTACAGCACAATACATAGCTCGGAGTTTCCTACCGAATGTGCTATACCTCGATTCGGTGTCTAGCAACTATCTAGAGAAAAATGTCGAAGGTTGCCAGAAGTTGTTAACCAAATGTTGTAAAACTCCTCCGATTGCCGAGTCGAATGCGTCTACTGCGATACTAATGGGTGCTTGAGTGTCTTGATGAACAAGCATTGTTGCTTTGAGAATGCTTTTCGCGCGGTGTCGTCCAGCTTGATGGATTTCGCATTTGGTCGGTAAGTGGTTTCATAAGTAACGAGCATTTCGGTACGAATCGTCTATAGAAACTTACAAGGCCGACAAACGTTCGTAACTGCTTGATGGTGGTCAGTTCTGAGTAATCCAGAATGGCCGCCACTTTTGTTGTAAGGGGTCGAACGCCTTGAGCACCTATAGTGTGTCCTAGGAAGTCTAATGAGTCAGTTCTGATTTGGCATTTCTGAATGTTTACAGTAATGCTATGATTTTTTAGTCGGTCGAAAACAAGATCCAGATGCTTGAGATGCGATTCTTTGTCCGGACTTGCTATTAGACAGTCGTCAACACACGCATGTGCGAAGTTGAGACCTCGAAAGACATCGTCTGTTAACCTTTGGAAGGTTTGTGCAGCGTTTCTTAGACCGAAAGGCACTCGCGAAAATTCATAGAGTCCGAAGGGAGTTATGACAGCAGTTTTCGGAATATCGTCAGTAGCCATAGAGATTTGGTTATACGCTTTAACCAAGTCAATTTTCGAAAAGACAGTTGTACCTTTCAACGTAGCTGTCAAATCGTGAATATGGGGCAACGGGTAACGATCGGGAATGGTTTTTGCATTCAATCGCCGATAGTCACCAGTTGAACGCCAATCGTTGCTGTCCTTTTTAGGGACCATGTGCAACTGAGATGCATATGGGCTATTTGATGGTCATATGATTCCTAAGTTTATCATGTGGTCAAATTCATTTTTGGCCAACCTTAGCTTTTCCGGAGCTAGCCGGCGTGCTTTAGAGAATACAGGTGATCCTGTAGTCGTGATATGATATTTAGCGTTGCTGGTTACACATGGTAACTTCGTTTGCGTTTGGTGTATCCCAGGATACTTATCGAGTAGTAGTTGATAAAATGGGTCTATCGTGTGCTTAATTGTGACTGGAGATAATCTGCAACCAGAAATAGGAGTTACGCAAACGGATAAAATAGCGTTTCCGTCTACTAGCCACCGTTTGCGCGTATCGATGATTAGATTATGGTGTTGTAGAAGGTCCATACCAATGATTGGCATAGAAACATCTGCAACAACGAAGATCCAGTGAATGAGTTAGCATAAACCCACGTTAAGGTAAACGTACCTTTTACCGTACGTGACGATAGGCCTTCCGTTTTCCGCCTATAGATTTAAAACCGATTCGTAAAGCCGGTCGTTAGAATTCGCTGGGAGAACGCTAACTTCTGCGCCAGTGTCGACGAGGTAGCGAGCTCTTGTTGCCACATCTGTGACTTACAACAGACGGCTATGTTCTCCGGCCATGGTTGCCGTTAACGTGTGCCGGCTTGGACGTTTGTCGAGTTGTTTTTCGTGTCGGCCGGTTTTGAGTTTGACAACGCTTTAACCAGTAACAAATTCCAATGTGAATCGTACCCACCAAGTGGAATCAAAAGACAGAAGCGAGGAGGTTCGAATATATATTTGATAGGCTATCAATATATCGAGGATCGTCTGATCTAATCTTGCTAGCGATTGTTGAGTATGGCGTCCCCACCCGTGATGTGGTAAAGATGCATGGCCGAGCGCCTTCAGCTAGGTGAATCCATTAAAACTAATGTGGTCAGCACCCAATGTTGAAACCTTGCAGAGCTATTTATATTGGGGATTTATTTACCGCTACAGATTCTTCCTACTGAAGACGAAGTAGTAATTCGAACATCGTCCTTCATTCATTTTAAGTGCTTAGACTCATGAATGAACCTTTGTGGTCTAAAAATGTCGGAGTTCGACAATGATTTCGTCTGCAACAGTTTTACAATCGAGGATCCCGAATCCAGTCGAAGCAAATGTCAAGAATCAAGCAGTTCGATGATGTTTCTACAAAAATAGTCAGTTTGTAAAGAAGTGGGTGAACTAATCCGGCTAGTTGTCGAAGGTGGTGCTTAGCACGACGTACTTACTAGTGATCTCGTGAGAATGTGCGACCGAGAGTCTTCAGCTTTTGTAAAACTAATCAGGTCAGTATTTATGTCGAAGACATACAGAACTATTTTGTCTGAGAATTTAGTTACCGCTACAACTTATCATAAATAAACTCCTGGATTCACACTGTCAGTAGAACAAATTTTTGATAACATAAAATTTGTTCCCTTAATTAATCGACGGACCCAGCAAAAAAGTATTCTGACACAAATCTCTTGTTGAGTCCCTCGAAGTCACAAAGGCTAGATGAAAATATCTGATGCTATTGCCTCCCAACATCAAGACAAGAGTTAATCAGTTCATGCTGGTCCATCAACACAGTGATCAAATTGGACCCAGCAAACTGTTGTGCGCCAGTTGCCATGTTTGCGTTGCATAAACATTTGCGTTATTACTTTGGCAATCGTTATTATATGTATTATCGACAATGCTCGCAAAAGTAAGCAAACCTACTCTTACATAATCTTCAGAGCGAAAACGGGCATAATGCTACTAAATATGGGTGGCCCGGAAACTACAAAGGAAGTACAAAATTTTTTAACACGTCTATTCTCTGACAAAGAAATTATCCGTATGCCGTTCCAAGAGTATTTAGGAATATTTTGTTACAATCTAGTCTTCTAGCTCGTTTTGTAGCATGGAAAAGGTCACCTAAGATCGAGGAACAGTATTCTCGAATTGGTGGTGGGTCTCCAATTCTCTATTGGACCAGAGTACAAGGTGAAATGATAGTAAAACACTTAGACGCTATTAGCCCAGAAACAGGTAGAGCGAAGTTCACAATTTTTTACGGTCTCTTTGACTAGCTCCTCATAGATTCTACGTTGCATTTCGTTATGTCCATCCTCTTGTGGAATCTTGTGTTAATGAAATGGAAAGGTATTTTTGTTCGACTTATTTTACTTCACTGTAGAGACGGTGTAGAGCGTGTTGTTGCTTTTAGTCAGTATCCACAGTACAGCTGTGCTACTTCGGGAAGCAGTTTAAATGCCATTGTTCGTCATTACGAAAGTGAAGAAAAAACTTTCAATGGTGTGGAAAGTATTGAGCTTCCTTCTGTACAGAACAAAAGCCCTGGACCAATCTGGTCCTTTATTGACAGATGGCCTGTTTTCCCCCCGTTGGTTAACAGTTTCGCCAATAAAATTCTTGGCGAGCTCCAGAGTATTAATGATGAAACAGAGCGTGCGAATACCGTCCTAATTTTCAGTGCACATTCGGTTCCACTATCTGTCGTCAATCGCGGTGATCCTTATCCTCAGGTGGGTTTAAGACATTTATGGAGTGTAGACGCTTAGCATTGTATACTCACAGAACAGTAAAAGACCACACCACTTTGACTTTATTGTATTTGTAACGTACTTCGTCCAAAAATAAGCCCACACAACTTAGAATATTTTGCTTACAGTATGAAAATTTGCATTATTCATCTGACCCATCACTATTCAGTTAATTTTTAACCTACGGATCATATCATAAAGTCAGTTTCTGTCTTAGATTAAATTATCAAGTAGCGTTAACTGTTATACACGTAAAAACATCCGGTTATGTTGATTTACACAAACATACAGTAAAAAGTTTCCCATTTTCAAACACCAAGCGGAACTTCCAATTAATCTGAAGTCTTAGAATTCTTTTAACATCTATAATTTGCATCTACTTGGAACCTCAACTCTTATCAAATTTACTATGTGGAGGCAACGGACGATTAAAATCCGAAACCGCTTTTTAAGTCCTCATGTTTAACTTAACGATGACAATAAGCTAAAGGTCTTAAAGAATCTAATAGCCACGTAGCTCATATTGTTTTTTGAAAAACTAGAACATATTCGTATGTTTCTAACATATAATCGGGTTTTGAGAGCCTGGTAGCACCACCATCCATCACAAAATGTGTCTTAAATCCGAGTATTCAAACTCTTACTTAATGAGCAAGTCATAATAAATTGATTACTGGTTATCTGTTTAATCCAACCATTTTCATTACTACCTACATAGCTCTCTAGATTTATGTCATTAAGTCGGTAAAATTTATGAGCTTTTAAAAGTAGAAAAGTCAAATTGGAAATGACATCCCTTTGTTTGATTCTGGTTTTTTTGTTCTCTTAAGTGAAACTTGAAAGGTCCATATCTATATCTATTTAAAGTGGTTGATTTCAAGATATTACGTGTTTTCGGATTTCATTTGTTAACTACTTCCAGGAAGTAGGTGCCACTGTTCACGCAATCATGAAACAACTCAATTTCTCATGGCCTTATCGTCTTACTTGGCAATCTAAAGTTGGTCCAGCTGCTTGGTTAGGTCCATCAACAGTAGACACCCTATATGGGTTGAGTCGTTTGGGATATCGACACGCACTATTAATTCCTGTTGCATTCACTCTAGATCATATTGAAACCCTGTATGAAATGGACATAGAATATTGCTCTGAAATAGCAGCTAAAGCCGGTATGGTTTCTGTACGCAGATCACAATCACTGAATGGTGACCCTGCATTCAGTCAAGTAAGTGGTATTGTTTAGTGTTCGAGCAAAAGATTGACAATTGTTGTTTTTTCAGTCTCATCTTATTAAGGTCAAAGTGGATGAGAAGCTACCCCCAGAATTCAATGTAATGTAAACTTTTTGTAAGCCTCGATTATCGTAAAGAATATAACCATTCGTAACTGGGTAGATTGTATAATCTCTATGAACTATCTGTTTGAGTCACTACGTAACAACTAACGTGTGTAATGTTAAAATTATCATCGTCCATCTCCAATAACAGTTGATTACAGCATTCAGAATGTTTTGCATTGTTGTAACAACATAAGCTCTTACCTCACCTTAATAGTTTAACTCTAGCAGAAAGAACAGGGAGATTATCCAGGCGTTGGTCAACATAAATAGTTTTGTCTTCCTATGGAGAAAAATACAGTATAATTAACATTTCCAAGTGAGAAAAGGTAAATTGCACTCATACATTCATCTAAACCAAGTTAAACCAACTCTATCCGTTATATCTCGACAACTGGAAGTGTATACGTGGGTGTTAAATATATAACAAATGATGTGAAGCCTCTTGTGAATTATGGTGGTATCACTGAAATATCTTGCTTTGAACAATTTTATGAGCTACTGTAAAGGTTGTCTCTGTATAAGCTTTGTTTCGCAGCTTCAGTGAGAACAACGGTATTTACTAGATTGCAAATATCCAGTTATCAGTTCGAAAATCGGACATGCATCTCTTATGTTTCACTTCTCACAGAAAAGTAATAAAATGATGTCTTTTTTCTTTAAAATAAAGAAGGCAAACAACATTGTTTTTTCTACGATATTTACATTGTAAAACTTTCAGTTTACTTCCGACTTAAGAATTTGGAATGGGATTATGTTATAGGGTTTTTATCTACTTTTGTCTTTGGATCCTGTTTCATTTTTAATGTGTTCATATTGGTAAATATTAAGCATTCTGTTACCATAGTCATGTGTTTGTAGGAATTAAATATTAATTTTACCTGAGATAATTTTTGTTATTTCAGGGCCTAGCTGAATTAGTCCTAGATCACCTTCGTCGGGGTGATCCATGCTCGAAACAGTTCATGCTTCGCTGTCCGATGTGTACTAACCCATCTTGTGAACGTACCAGAAAGTTCATTATGGCCCAAAAAGAACGAGTACATGGATGGACAACTCTGCACTTGCCGAACAGTGAGCGTGTACGCTCATGTAGATATAACTAAAGACTGAAACCATTTTTAATTGTTTCTAAATAAAAATTTTCTGTTTCGAATCTTTTGATTCTTAGCTACTACTTTTAATAATTAGGATCCTAGTAACTATTTACTTTACATGAACTATGCTCCTCATACGACTGTCACATTTCAAATATAAAACATTGTAGATAAAATTTCTCAGTCCACAGTCTAATTCTTCTCTACAAAATCAACTATTTTTCATTTGTATTCTTGTGATCTAATGAAATGGTGTTTTTCATTGATCCCGTGGTCTGTACACTTTCACCCAACGGTGTTTTAGACTATTAGGAATATAAGGTCTTTTTCCAACCCAAAAATATATTTATCGATATCTAAATCATTTAGGTTTTGAATTGCATTTCATCCTGCCCACTTTTCTATGAGGTTCCATGTCATGCGAATCGCTCACACAATATACGAAAATGTAATTGGCTGTTAAGTCCCATCCATTGTGCGCCATATCTTGGAATGCTTATTGCATCAGATTTTTATTATCCAGAAAAGTAAGTAGAAGTCTCATAGGTCGGTATATGTTGAAATCCTCTTTCAAATTAAGTTACACAGGCATTCTTTTTTGTTTTTGTTGAGAAAAAACGTTGGTAGAATAGTGGCTAAGAATTGCTTACCATGCGTTTCCTGTATACTGATATGAGGTAGTGCAATTATGTGTTCTAATTGGAGAAATTGAATGGCTCAGTGTATTGGTTCACATCACCACACTCAAAATTCTGCAGGAAATATTAAAATTACTATCAATACAAAAAGTGGAGCATGTTGACCATTTTATGTACTACAGTATCTGATGTGTGCAATTTTCTCAATGCCGTCAGTAACTAGGTAGTTATAAAGTACTGGCATCTCTCGATTTACGTTTGATAAGTGACCAATAAACATAGATGATGGGAAACTATAAGTATTCTGGTATTGGTACTTTGTCGGTTCCACGTACTTATTGAGATCAATTAAAATTAGACTTGGGATAAACTAGCTGGTCGCGTCATGAAATTGTTATTGGCATGAAATCGTGTTCGATGTTTTGAATATTCAAAAATTGTTGCGATAAAATATCAGGAATTGTTAACTAAACATTTTTTCATGAAGCACCTAAGGTTGACTACACTAAATGTTATAACGAGGAATATATTTTAACCAAGCGTTGACTATTCACTATCGCCCAATTCACATTTAAAATGTAGTCGGAAGATACACCACAATTCCTCCCTAAAAAGCTCTGAGCTCAAGTGGACTCAATGTTAATATCCGATTAATGCGATACTTATGTACAAGATACGAAATAAAGTTTGCACAAATAGAATTTCATTCACATCCAGATCATTTGCAGGCCAACTGTCTTTGTGGATCACATAGAATTTTGGTCATGACCTTTATATTTCGGAGTGCGGTTTTTATTAAACACGAGAACACTGACGGTACTTATATAAATAATTATTTACTGTAGAGTTTTATATTCTGATTAAAAATGATAGCGATGATAGTAAGTCAACACAATTGTCAAGACAATGTATTTTTTTGAACAGGTTCTTTTTTATATGGTTTTGACTGAAAGCTCATTGGAGCAATGACTTCTTTGTGGGTGTACAGTGTTGAGAAGCCCCAGTCATAGACTGTTTCCTGTCTTTTGGTGGTTCTCCTGTCAGTCATAATCAGCGTAGAACCTAGTACAAATGTTCATTAACCGAAGTTGCTATACCACCATTAGCACAATGAAATGAAATTGACAAAATGGATGGCAAAGAACTCAAAACAATGATAATGAAAAAGACTAAGCTTTAAGAATATAATCCAAACAGACAATAAGAAGGTATGTATGAATGAGTGGTCGAACCATAGATCTAGAGTAAGATAGAATTAATTGTATCTGAGACATTGTAAATTATTTGAAATCATGGCTTTCAACCCCACACTTATTATATAAAATTCAACCACGTGGTCGTTGCCTGTCAACATAAATCAGATCAACAGCCCATGGATTGGTCCCACATTTTCTTTGGCCTCTTCTAGCTTTCTTTCGACCCACATCTACACCATTATTAATTAGAAATATGTGATACATCTCCCAAGCACCTCGTTTAATCAAGAATTACAACCAGTTAGTTGTTCCCGCCAAGAATCGTGCGCCTAACTTCAACGTTCTCTTTTCGGTCGTTCCATGATAGGTGAGAGATGTTTCAAAGATCCTTATAGTTCTCCAGCTGTCATCAGTTCATGATGGAAATCGCATGTCAGCTGTATGAAATCCGTATATGCCCATCTCTATAAGTATGAATATTTTGTATTCATTTAGATAAGAGATATCCGCAACTATGAAATATAGATATTGTCAGTGAATAGTCACTCTTCTTCAACTGAAACCGCTCCCACCTTGTACGTAAATGTGTAAGTAATCCACCGACTTAACTAATAAACGTGTAAAATATATTCTACTGTAATAGTGAATCAGTTTTTAACTAATATAGAATAGTGGACTGTTTAAACTACCTATATGGAGGTATATTCAGCTGACGAGTCCAAAGTAGGACGGAACGTGCATCGTGGATCCCACTGCTAGCCATCATTCATCTCTGCTTATATCTACATGAAATTATTAAATTGGATTATGTGGTGTAAAAACCAAACTTGATATAATTGTTGTAAACTACTATGATGTATTCAGTCTGAATGCTTGATTTCGAATTCTAAATACAGTATATTCGTTTGTGGTTATCTAGTACTTCTTGATCCGATTACGTTATTTCTGGGATTCTTAGTTCATACTATAATTCAAATACTTATAATTATCACAGATAAATAACAACAATGCTGAATCTAGAGTAAGATATACTAACATGAGCACTCATGGATTCAATGAAGGTAATTCAGACACTTTCATTCACATCAAGAAATGTCTAACATGTACTTACCCTACTCATGAGTTGTACATATTTGTAGTAGAATTTCCAAGAAAATTACTAACCTTTGAGAAACAATAATGACGTTAGTTAACGTGTAGAAATTCTGTCTAACTAATATATAACATTTATCAGTGTTTACAATCTCATTTATGCCAGTAAACTCCTTGAATATTTAAATCTACTACTGGAAGTCCCATTGCCGGAAATTACTACTAACATATTATATTTTCATATAACCAGTACGCCTCACACCCACCTACACACAATGTCGTCCCACACTGTATAACACTAACAAGTGTTTGGAAGATTTATTTACAAGCATTAGAAATACTGAGAAAGTCAGAAAGCAAAAATAATGAATACCTGTAAGCTATTATATATATATATATATATATATATATATAATATATATATAAATGAAAGTTTTATGCTGGTTTGTGATCACAATAGAGAAAGGTATTTGGATTTATAATAAAAACAGAAAATGTGGAAGCGATACTGAATGAATGAATTAGAGGAGAGAAATAGAAATGCAGTTTGTCCATTCGCTATCAAGGTGGTCTAATTTTCTGCTCCTCTCAACTGCTTTCATCATTATAAACATAATATGTACATATAGGTAGTTATTGATTTGTGATAAATTATTATCTTAAACTTTATTAACAGTTCTATGCTGGGAATGATGACTTAAATAATACGATTGATCTCTTCCAAAAGGAATGTTTTGATGTGGATTCTATGTGGGGATATTTTGTTTTATTCTGTACGACATACAGAACATGTTAAACCACCACAACATAATGATAAGTCATCATCTACACATAAATACACACAAACATGCACATAGTGAAGTTATTTGATAAATCAACATTGACTAATTCTTCCATCTACCATAGGTTTCATTTCAATCAAGTTTCCAAGAGAAAGAATTTCGTTACATTCTACACATGCATCAGTTCTTCTTCTTCTTATTTTAACTTATGATTAGTTTACAAATGAACATTATAGATGTTCATAATAAAATGATAATTAAAGGATTTACTTATGATTTAAGTCAAAGATTATTACTGTCCATCTGCTGAATTATATTGATGTTGATACTGTTGTTGGTGATGACTATTATTGTAATCATTGAAATGGTACTGATTATTATAATTGGTAAGAAATGACTGTTTATTATAAGTAGTATTAATAATATTAGGATTTGTGGAATTACAATTTGTAATAACTCTGTTATAATGAGGATAATTATTTACATTTATACATGATTTCCATTTAGATAACATAATGGATGATAAATTTGATGTATTTAATTGATGATGAATTCCACGAATTATTGATGGTTGTTCATCGAATTTCTGTAAAATAATATTATTAATATTTGTACGATTTGGTGATAAATCAGATGAACTTGATGACCAATGATTTGGTGATTCACTTTCATCGGAACCCATTATATTTGAATTGGTTATAATATGATTAGTATGAGTATTATTATTATTGTTATTATTAAAATTATAATCAATTTTCAATAATGAATCCTTGAATATTTCAACTTGAACATCATTACTACTATTATTATTGTTTGTGTTATTAGTAAATGATTCAAAATTGTCTGGCTTATTTAATGTTTGATGAGTTTTAATAGAATTTAATACTGTGTTATCAATATAGTCATTATTATTAGTATTAGTATTCATCAGAGCAAGAGATGGGGGTGTATGCTTACTATTGTTATTATTACCATTATTATTGTTAGTAGTAGTGGTATCATTAGTAGTAATGAGTTTTGTAGTTGATTCACTCACCACTGAGTATTGTGATGCCGACAACGAGTCATATTTATTGTTAAACACTAGTGACGATGATGTAGCTACTGTTGTTGTCAACCCATATGTCTCGATAAATGTTGGTGCTGTTGTCGTCGTAGCAACTCCAATAGTACTAACAGTTGTTGTCATAATGCAATGGATACTTCGATTCTTTGAACACTTTTTCTCAGTCATGTTTTTCACAGCTGATTTCATCGTTGAACAATGCTGGGATGCTGGATTCCCAGTTGATAGTTTATGAGTAATAGACTCCGTATCATAATAGGTCAATTGATGCTGACTGTTGTTATATAATTTGGAAGTTGGAAAATATGAACAATACGATTGCTCCACTGATGTTATTCTTGGCAGTGTAGATAATGTATTTATGTCTGTTGCTTCTGTTGTCAATGTTTTCGAAGTGAATAAATCATGCTTTTTAGTTAATTTGTTTAGATTTCCACTTGTACAATATTCAGTATTTGAATTGGCGGTATATTCATCTAATAAATTAACAATCTCATTATGTCCACCTAAATAAGCTAAATCTCTCGGTGTACGGTCTAAATAATCGGCTAAATTTAAATTAGCTCCAGTTAGCAACAATAAACGACAACTTTTCATAGCACCTTCTCTACATGCCAATGCTAATGGAGTTTCTTCATGTAATGTTTGTGCGTCTACAGTTGCACCAGAATTACACAAACTATGAATGATATCCGATTGATCTGTTACAGCTGCCCAATGTAACGCTGTACGTCCTAAACTATCTGAAGTATTAATATCAAGAAAATTTAGAGTATTCTCTTCGTAGTTAAGTTCTACGCCACCGCTGACTGTTGGTGTAGTGATCACTGTTGGTGGAGATGATGATGCTACTGCTCCAGTTGATAATGATGATGATGTAGATTGAATATGAAGTAAATCCGTTGATGTTCCAACTATATCATAACTTGTATATTCTTGACCACGTGAAATATTAGTCTTTGTCAATGCACAAACTAATACATTCATTGCATGTAATAGCATATTGAATATGTCTGTGTAATAGACAAATGAAAAAAAGGTTTAACAAAAGGACACAAATTAATATCTTGTATTTGATGAAATATATACATCTATATGCAAAAATATTCTTTAAAAAGTCCCTAGTCAAGTCTCCATCATTCAGTAACAATGAATTACTTTTTCTTAAAGTGCAATCAAGTTACAGTTAAATAGTAAATATCAATAAAGTACAGTGGTCAAGTTACGTTACAATGTTAATGGAAGTCGACTTATCTATCATACAGTATAATAATTATCATTAGGCACAAGTCTGTGTATGGTATTCAATGTGACTTTTGTGAAAGTAAGATATGGAGATGAGGTCTTGACAAGTGAGTTTTTCAGTCCTGACGAATAAATATTAATTCAAACTGTGAAATTTCTAAAATTCTCCACAAAACCCATTCTGATAATAATAATCAACTGCTCACTAGTGACTGACTTCAGGAAAAACTCCTGAAGTTCTAGTGAGAAGCCGTTACCAGTGGAGTTC